AAATATCTCATTTAGAGTTTTTTAATGATATATTTTTATAAAAACAAAAAAAATAAAGAAAAAATAAAATACATGTTGCTACATGCACCTAATGCATGATACAACTATTAATCTTATGGGTTAGTTGGTTGGATGGAGTTGCAATTTAATTACAGTCTAATTCTTTGGCCATCCGAATTATCGTGTTTGGTTGGAGGGAATTGCAATTCCTCATTTTATTGAATTGCAATTATTATCCTCCCCCATATGAATTGCAATTCAATGGGGGAAAGGAAAGGAAAAAGGGAGGAAAATGATTTTTTTTTTTTTACCCTTGATTATTATTAGCTTTATTATTACACAAGGACATTTTAATCTTTATATTACTTATTCCCTTCTCATTCTCAATAATTCTATTTATCCCTACCAAACAATGTGTTTAAGACGAGCGGTGTACTGAATTACTAATTTTATAAAATATTTTCTCTTTTCCCTTTTGGACATTTTTAATACGAGTAATACTATATATGGTCAAAGTGCCTACGAGGTCCCTTTATTATATGTTCTGTTTAATTTAGTCCTTATACTTTTATTTTGTTCAATTTAGTTCATGTACTTTAAAAAGTGGTGTAATTAAAGACAACAATTAACGGTGTTAATATTACTGTTAACTTAATTTACGTGGACCCTGACATCATCATTGTCACATTATGATATTTATATTCTTAATAGAATTTGGGAGTATATGTAGTAGAACTCATATATTACTTTATAAATATTTAAAATTAATTATTTTTACGACCAATATATTAAATTAATATGTCTAAAATAAATAATTACAACCATGTTCCTAATGAGATTTGGACACTTGATGTCAGCATGATTGTAATTATTTATTTTGGATATATTAATGCAATATATTAGTGGTAAAAATAACTAATTTTAAATATTTATAAAATAATATATGAGTTGGAATATAAATATCATGATATGACAACAACGATGTCAGCAACTGGTAAGCTAAGTTAACGGTAATATTAACATCATTAACTATTGTTCTTAGTTTTATCACTTTTTAAAGTAAATAGACTAAATTAAACATAATAAAAATACATGAATTAAATTGAACAAAACACTATAATGCATGAACTTCATAAGTAGTTTGAGGAGTATATACTCTTAAATCCTAACTTATTTTTCTTACATTTTTTACCTCTTGACTTCCCAACATTTAATTGGTTTAAAATTCTTTTTTAAATATAATTAATTGTTGGGAATATTCTTTGTTTTACTGGCATCTAATCTGGTCAGCATTATCACCGGGATCCGATGGCGGTAATCGCACGCATAATTCGCCTTACCCTCGATTCTTGGAATATAAAAACTATAACAGCACGTTTGGTTCACGGAATGAATTTTGAAGTAATAGGAATGTTATTCCATAAGGAATAGAATAAGCAAGGAATAGAATATGAATTATATTATATTGTTTGGTTCGCGGAAGGAATAGACTTTAGGAATTATATTACAGTGTTTGGTTGATTTAAGGAATAGAAATGAAATATGTTTTAAAAGACATAAATACCCTTATAAAAATATGTGATGGTGGCGATGGTGGTGGTAGTTTTGGTTGTAGCAATGGTGGTGGCGGTGGTGGTGATGGTGGTGGTGGCGGTGGTGGTGGTGGTGCTGGGGTGGTAGTAGTGGTGGTGGCGGTGGCAGTGGTGGGGGCGACGGTGACGATGACGGTTGTGGCAGTGGTGGGGGGGCGGCGACGGTTGTGGCGGTGGTGCTGCTGGGTGGTGGTTTTGGTGGCGGTGGTGGCGGTGGCAGTGGTGGGGGCGGCGACGGTTGTGGCGATGGTGGCGGCGGCAGTGGCGGCGGTGGTGGTGGGGGCGGCGACGGTTGTGGCGATGGTGGTGCTGGTGGAGGCAGCGGCGATGGTGGAGGCAGCGGCGGTGACGGTGACGATGACGGTGGTGAAATAGGATAAATTTATATATAGGATAAAAAAATTAGGTTAAAGAAAGGGGTAAAAAAGAAAATAGATTCTAAAATCTATTCCTGAGCGTTCAGTAATAGGCTAATACCGGGGGGGCCCTAGTAATAGCTATTACCTTATTTGAGGTAATAGGCTATTACCAGGAATATTATTTCTGGTAATAGAAATGGTTACCAAACAAACGAATAGGCCTATTACTGGGAATGCTATGCCATTCCCGGCCTATTCCGTGAACCAAACGGGCCATAATGACATGTTTGGTTCATGGAATAGATCAGGAATGGAATAACATTCCTTGGAATAGACCTATTCCATCGTTTGGTTGGATCATTTTGTCATAGGAATAACATGCCTAGGAATGAGCTATTACCTTCGCAAGGGGAATAGTCATTCATAGGGGGGGGGGGGGGACTTGGTATTAGCTATTTCCATGCCCTTGGGAATAGCTTTTATATCACAAATACCAAAAATACCCTTTTATACATTATATAATATTTATATTTATTTAATAAATATAATGTATTATATAAATGTATATATTTAATTAATTATAATTTTTATCCATCAGTCTATATATATATATATATATATATATATATATATATATATATATATATATATATATAAATTAACTGTATAAGACTCCTTAATTATGGAGCCTTGGCTCCTATATTAAGTAGCTTGCCCATCTGCATGCCTAGCGAATGAGCATTGTAATTGAAATTATGGAGCCTTGAGGCTCCTTTTATAGGAGTCTCAAGGCTCCATTCCTTATTTTTCCAACCGATGTGGGATAAGTATGAAAGTACAAAATGGCAGTAGGAAAGTAGTAGTATTATTGTTCGGGACTTTAAGTCCAAAAAATACGTACAAAGCCCGAGGTACAACCCAAATTGGCGGCCTAGATAATAAGGACAATAGCCCGCCGGGGGGGGGGGGGACCAAGATTAGTATTACAACCAGTTGGAATTGAACCCTGGAGAACAAGCTGAGAATGTAGACAAGAGACCACTAGACCAAGATGCCTATAGTGTTCAGACAATGATGCCCAAGGAGAGACAATGCGCTCCTATTTATAGCAAATAATGCCCAAGGAGAGACAATGCGCTCTTATTTATAGCAAACAACTACTCCATCGTCTACGTATATGACCCTTATTTTCTTTCTCTACCACCATCCACGTACCCCACACTCACAATTCCACCACGTCGGGCATGCCACGGTCACGCCACACCCCCGTCCGCCCCCCGCAGCCCCTTCCTGCGCCACCACCCCATCACCCCACAAACCTGGGCCGTTGGGGGGCACGCAAGCGGAGCACCTAGGGGCACACAGCACACTGGTGCGCTGGGCATGCGTCGGCCGGCGGCACCCCCACCCACCTATCCGTGCTGGTTCAGCCCACCATCCAAACTGCCTCTCTTAATCTTCCATCTCCTTTGACCTTTGCCTAAACCAGCCCAATAGCAAGCCCACTCAATCTAGCACATACCCCATATCCCGGCAAATTATTGTATGGACCATGATTCATATAGTGTTGTATGGACTATTAAAGAAAGTACATTTTTAATATGCTAAAAGTACATTATTTGTGTACTGAATGTGCATTATATAAAATAATGTACTTTTATATTCAAATAATGTACATCCCCTGAATACAAAATACATTTTTAATATACTAAATGTACATTATTTGTATACTAAATGTACATTATTTTATACTATACAAAATATGGTCCAGACAATAATGATTGCCATATCCCCATCAATGTACAATTGTACATTAAAGTTTAGATGTATGATCATATAGAACAAACATGATGTTGAACATTAACCTTTGTTTTATGGATATATAAAAGGAACATTATAAACATACTATAAAATGAATGAAAATACATATAACATACTTTTAATTTAGTATTTATGTAGATTAAAGTTTATGTTTATGAACATTGTATGATGATATTATTAAATGAATAAATATGATGCATTAATTGACACTTAATATAAAATAACATTGTTTTAAACTAGTATCCACAATCTAATTTGTCGATTTATAGCATACCATTGACTCCAAAGAGTACTCATAATATAATCTATAGATTAATATATTATTACCAACAAACAAATAATATTAACACCAAAAGTCAAGGACATATTATTTTAGATAGAATTAATAATTTTTACTAACTTAGATGATCATTCTTTTCTTCAACAAAATTAATCCCTGTACAAGTAATTTACTTTGAGATAGAATGAGATACCACATCAACATGTGTCACAACTAATATACTGTAATAACATATCATCGTTTGAAAAAGTGAAGTAAGAGTTATAATTAATTTTCTCTCTCTAAATTACTATTTTATTATGACTTTATTCTTTAAAATGATGATGTGTCAATTTATTATTGATCATGACACATTCCCGAATCTTTTTTGGAATATCCCTTTGAATAGTGCCTCAGCCCAAGTCACACCGAAATCAACATGTGTGACCTCATATGCTTGTAATTTTCCCACTTATAACATAACCATAATTTCACAATTTATACTGAGCTCATGAATCTCAGAAACATCTCATTCTATCTCCTATCACTAATGGAGCATTATTGCATTAACTTAATTAAATAAATGTATTTCCGATTATATAAACTTTTAAATACTAAATTTGATTGCTTTTTCTTATTGGGAGAAGAATAAGGAAAAGCAAAAATCTTAATAGAGAAAATTCACTACCGCTTCTTTATTAGTGTGCCTTTGCAATGGCCCTATAAAAAAGGTAAGACCTCCCATTTCCAAGAGGTAACATTGAAACACCTGCCTTCATAACTTCTTTAAATAAGTAAAAAAAAAATATTTTTTCTTTTCTCACTTCATCTCTCAAAAATTTCTCACCTAGGTAGGAAGAATACCCCCTTTCAAAAAAAAAAAAAAAAAGGTTGGAAGAATACAAGAAAGTAGATATATATATATATATATGAGAATAAACTCGAACCGGGTCGAAAATTTATCCGACCATGGTAGCACGCGACAAAGTCACCGTATCCGTCCCGCCGGACGACGATGTAACGCCGGACGACGGTGTAACGCCGGCGGCGTTGACGGCACCAGAGGTGCACAAAGTTTGCTTGCCGCCACACAAAACCACTTTCCAAAAACTAAGTCAGAGACTCGGGGAGATTTTCTTCCCAGATGATCCACTTCACCGGTTCAGGAACCAACCCCCCGCCCGGCAGTTTCTCCTGGGGCTCAAGTTTTTCTTCCCCATTTTCGAATGGGCCCCGAATTACAACCTCAAACTTCTCCGTTCTGATATCATCGCTGGCCTCACCATTGCCAGCCTCGCAATCCCGCAGGGAATTAGTTACGCCAAGCTCGCCAATTTGCCCCCAATTATCGGCCTATGTAAGATTCAACTCCTCTCTACAATTCCTTTATTTATTTTTTTGAAATTATTTTTATATCTATCACAATCACAATTATGTATAATAATGTTCATTTATAATTGCAGATTCAAGCTTCGTTCCGCCAATTTTGTATAATAATGTTCATTTATAATTGCAGATTCAAGCTTCGTTCCGCCATTGATATATTCAGTTCTAGGTAGCTCGAGGGATTTAGCGGTCGGACCGGTTTCGATAGCTTCTCTTGTGATGGGCACCATGCTCAGCGAGACAGTTCCTCACGAAAAAAACCAAGCTCTATACATCAAGTTGGCTTTCACTGCTACTTTTGTTGCTGGAGTATTTCAAGCTTCCTTAGGGTTTTTCAGGTAATTATATGATCATTTCACACTTCAAATAACCATACTCTACTTTTCTCAATCAATAAGAGTTTAAAATGTTCAATTAATAAGAATTATTTCACTTCACTTTAATAGAATAGATTCCATTCTTGCTTCATTAGCCTCTCTTTCTGTAATTGAAGATATTATTAATTAATTGATAAAAGTGCAAACTAAAGAAGAAATGAGCTTTATGGCAAGGCATTTGACAAGAATCATTTGAAGCATATAAAGCTGATGAAAATGGTGGGATGAAAAAAATGATTCCTTGGTTAACAAAACTTAAGCAACCTTAACACTGTTTTATAAGAATATTAGTCCTTATTATATGGATATGGAAAATATTAATCCTGATAATGATGGGTAATTTTTATTTTTATTTTTTTTTATATTTAGTGAAAATGCTGATTGAGTTATTTGGCTGAATGTAAACAGGCTAGGGTTCCTTATTGATTTTCTGTCAAAAGCAACTCTTCTAGGATTCATGGCTGGTGCAGCAGTGATAGTTTCATTGCAACAGTTGAAAGGGTTACTTGGGATTGTCCACTTCACAAACCAGATGCAAATAATTCCAGTGTTAACCTCTGTTTTCCATCACAAAGATGAGGTTACAGTAGCAATTTTGAAAATAAAACCTCAAAAAAGCATAAGATTACCTAGTAAAGACCATGTTGCATGAAGCTGTGTTAATGTTTCTTTGCAGTGGTCTTGGCAAACCATTGTCATGGGTGTGTCCTTTTTGATCCTCCTAATGACAGCAAGGCAAATTGTAAGTTTTGCTACCTTGTATCTGTTGAAGAAAAACATGTTTGATATATGCATTGATAACGCAAATTATGCTGTGGAAACGTGTTCACCATGCGCATGGTGAACACGGGTAGATCCATAATTTCTATGCTATAGATTCATAATTTTGTTTTTCATTTGTTGTTAACGACGTTTTTCTGTTCGCAATCGCATTATTTCGTCTTCACAGTACAGATATTATGAATCTACAGTATAGAAATTATGAATCTACAGTATAGATGTTATGAATCTACAGTATAGAAATTACGAATCTACAGTTTAAAAATTATGGATCTATCCCGTGTTCACCATGCGCATGGTGAACACGGTTCCACAGCATAACTATCCCATTGATAAATCACTAGTAAATAAAAACTGAGAAAAAAACTAGTAAATGAAAATTGATTACTAATATGCACTTACTAATCTTACTTCCTAAACAGGGCATCTGGAAACCAAAACTCTTTTGGGTTTCAGCAGCTGCCCCGCTCTTATCAGTTATTATCTCGACAGCTATAGTTGCACTCCTCAAGGAGAAGGCTAGTGTGTTCCAAACTGTAAGCAATAGTCTTTTATCACACTAACTAAAGGATTGTTAGTAGGATGTGAGTGAAAGCCTTCTTTTAAACTTTCTGCAGATTGGACACCTGCCAAAGGGTCTAAATCCACCTTCAGTAAGCATGCTGTACTTTCATGGCCCATATGTGAGTCATGCAATCAAGACAGGCATTATAGCAGGAATCTTATCTCTCACGGTAAGTTTCATTGGTTAGAATCAATTACCATTAAAAGCACCCTGTTGTTAAGTTAGCCTGTGGTACTGCAGGAAGGAATTGCAGTAGGAAGGACATTTTCTACTTTGAAGAACTATCAAATTGATGGTAACAAAGAAATGATGGCTATTGGGCTGATGAATATGGCTGGTTGTTGTGCTTCATGCTATGTAACAACAGGTAAAATTCTCACAAAAAATGGGATAATCCAGAACACAAAGCTCCAGCTATATACTGATTATTAGGGGAAAAGTATATCAGTGCCTGATTTACTTTAAAAAAAAAAAAATGTTTGTTGCAGGATCATTTTCACGATCTGCAGTAAATAACAATGCTGGAGGACAGACTGCAGCCTCAAATATAGTAATGGCGACAGCTGTGCTAATCACTCTCCTGTTTCTCATGCCCTTGTTCTATTACACACCTAACCTAATCTTGGCAGCGATTATAATCACAGCTGTGATTGGGCTTATAGATTATAAGGCTGCTTTGAGGCTGTGGAAAGTTGACAAACTTGATTTCTTCGCCTGTATGTGTTCTTTTTTTGGTGTTCTTTTCATCTCAGTGCCTATTGGCCTTGGCATTGCAGTAAGCATCCCCTCTCACATCTCAGTCAGAAAATCAATTCTTGAAATGCACGGAGTTTGCACTTACCATTTCTACTTTTGTGTTAAATTTAGGTTAGTGTTTCAATCCTCAAGATCCTCCTGCATGTAACTAGACCAAATACACATGTTCTGGGAAATATTCCTGGAACTCAAGTATATGAAAGCATAGGAAGGTATAGAACAGCTACTAGGATCCCCACTTTCCTTGTTTTATCAGTGGAATCACCTATCTATTTTGCAAATTCCACCTACGTCCAGGAAAGGTAACTTCAGAGATTACTCTAGTTCTTTTCTTTATATCAATATATCAGTTTTCAAGGTTTTCAAGTCCAGAACATGAATGTATGGCATACTAGAGAGAAATCAATGAATGCAGGGTACTAAGATGGATTCGTGAAGAGGAAGAAAGGATCACAGCCAACAAAGAAAGTGCTATAAAGTGTGTTATACTCGACATGACAGGTTACAAACTTACAAGTGATGAAAACAAATGCTTTTCTGTTGTTTGGTTTCTTATTTGCAATTCCACTAACCAAAAGGTATATATTCCCACCCCTTAGCTGTGACAGCCATAGACACAAGTGGTATTGATACAATTAATGAATTGAAGAAAGCATTGGAAAGAAAGTCTCTTAAGGTAAACAAGCCCAGTTTCCTTGGTAGTTAGTAACCCCCCCACCCCCCCCCAAAAAAAAAAAAAACAATTTATTATTAATTTGAAGTAGTTTTTTTTTTTTTTTTTTTTTTTTTTTTTTTTTTTTTTTTTTTTATAGCTTGTGCTGACAAGTCCTGTTGGAAGTGTTGCTGAAAAGATGCACAAGTCTGGCACTTTGGAGGCTTTTGAATCAAATGGATTTTATATGACAATTGCAGAAGCAGTCACAGACATCTCCACTTCACATATTCCTGAACCTTAATGTTCAATTGTTTTCTTGAGGGGAAAATGATTGATCTAAGTGCTGTTGAGTTGCATTAGTTTTGAAAAGAAGGATTTTCAAGACCTTAGGAGTTTAGGAAAATAAACTGAGAAACACTGTTTTGTGTTTGTTTATCCTAAGCTCTTCTAAGATGATGCTACATGTGCTTCGATGATTTAACATTAATCAAAGTTCCCTATTCCCATCATTTTTACCAAGTGTCATAAATAGAAGACAAAAAACTAACAAAGATACCCACCTTTCAAACTGACAACCACAGCTATGATTCTTTTTAAGAGTAAAATTAACAAATCAAGAGCAATTTCTTGATTAACAGAGGAGGAGACCAGGCAACTTTATCATTAATTTCAGTCAGCATTACAAGCAAATTAGTCCCCCCTGCCCCAACCCCAAACATGGAAATTAGCAATCCACAATAAGACTAGAGAAAAAATTATTTAAAAAAAAAAAAATTATTTCTTTCTGAATTTGATCTGCTTGGACTTGAATGCCTAATTGCCTAATGACTCGTAAAAACTTACCTTGCTTTTATGCTTCTCTTTTACTTATTTTCCATCATTGTTTGACCCCAGGCATGGAAAGCATATCATTTACAGAAGCATCAGAACCTGCCAATCCACATGTTAACAGAACCCACCAGCAAACTGAAAGCAAAATTTGTTCCTTGCTGTTGAATTCTGCTACATCAAACACCTGTACATATTCATGAATTTCAAATTAATATTGACATCATAGCTAGCAGAATTATATAACACACAAGTACTTCTAGTGAATTTCTTCAACTCAGATACACAGAGACCAAGAGAAGTGCACAGACATAGCCAAGTGAAGTGATTCGCTATTTATAGCCACCACAGATGCCAGCAAGTTATTATCAAAGTATGAGATAGGAAGAAATCTAAAAGAGCTAGTTGTTTTCTAAATGGTAAAAATGTAAAATGGCAGTGTATAGCTTGAGCATAACATATTCATTTTAGAAACAAAAGAACATGTATGATGGCATTGAGCAAAAATACATGGGACCTTAAGATTTTGGTCTGAGCAACAATAATGTGTTAAATATTAAATAGAGCAAACCCAATAGACATTCTAGTTGTCACTGAATTCTTTGACATTAATGCTCACCACCTACCAAGAAGGTGCCAACAACACCAAGAAACTCATAAACCAATATAGTACAGATCTCACAAATGGAGCACACATTTCCTACTTTCTAGCTTAATGGAGTAAACTTTTCCTACATCTCTCAGTAAATGAATAGCTTTCCTATTTTATCACCTAAAGTAACACTAACATTTATTAATTGCAATTATCTCTATTAATAACGTGTAAGACAACCACTCAGTTCACATCATGTGTGTCATATTCTTGAAGAGGCGGGAACGGTGATGTGTACAACAATATAAAAAGACCATCTTTATTCCATTAGCAACTTAAATTATGCAATGATAACAGAGAAAACTGTTCTGGTAACCTAGAATATGCCAAATAGCAAGAGGAGGCTCATATAAGAAAACGTAAGAATTAAGATGTCATAGATATACTCATATACACTGGTAAGAGATCCATCATGAACAGGAAAATCTTCTCTTGGTGCTTTCTAATTATATCAATTAATCTTTACAGCACGTTTGGTTCAGTGAATAGGCCTAGAATGGAATAACATTCCCGGGAATAGGCCTATACCATTGTTTGGTAACTTGGTAAGTCATTTTATTCCCGGGAATACTTGAATGAGCTATTCCCCTTGCAAGGGGGATAGCAATTCCAAGGGAGGGCTTGGTATTAGGAACTTTATGAGAAGAACTCAAGAATAGCCTATTTTTTGTAATGCCTAATTTGCCTTTATATATTTTTGTTAGGTATTAAAAATGTAATCTATAATCTATAATAAATAATAATAATAATAATAATAATAATAATAATATTATTATTATTATTATTATTATTATTATTATTATTATGTGCATACACAGGGACTGAGCTAAAGGGGGGGGGCAGCTGCCCCCACCCCATATATAGTCTTTGTATGTATATATGTATATATAGTACAGGTTTTAGTATTAGTATAAAAAAACTATAAAATGTTAAGAAGTGAGTCAGATTAGGTGGTAGAGCACATATTTGGCAATAGTGAGGTCAAGGGTTCAAATCTTGGCATCAATATAGTTTTACAATTCTTTTAATATTTAATACACACACACACACACACACACACACACACACACACATATATATATATATATATATATATATATATATATATATATATATACATTCTTTTATATTAATAATAAGATGTGTAATTTATAATGTGTTTTCTATTCAAATTATTTTATCAAATTAATTATGTTTCATATTTTGTTATGAATATTTTTATAAAGTTTCGATGTGTTTTATTTTTCGTCCATATCCAACAATATTTACAACTATATTTCTTAGGTAATTTATTTATTTATTTTTAAATTATCTCTTTTGTTTTAATGTTTCGCCTTTACTGGAAATAATTTTTGAATCCCCCCCCCCTCAACTGAATTTCTGGCTCCGTCCCTGTGCATACACAATATATATATATATATATATATATATATATATATATATATATATATATATATATATATATATATATATATATATATATATATATATATATCAATGTGGAAGGTATTTTTGTCTTTCGAATGCTTTTTCAAATTCTATTCCTTAATCCAACCAAAAATTAAAATACAATTCCTGAAGTCTAATCCATCCATGAAACAAACAATGGAATAGAAATCCTTCTCTATTTTTTGCTTATTCCACTCCCTATGGAATAGGATGCCTATTCCTTCAAAATTCATTCTGTGAACCAAATGTGCCATTAAGGAGTGTATTGATGATCAAATAGCAGTTGTGAAAACAAAAGTTCGGAGATAGTTTTTACCTAATGCCTTGGTTAAAATTTTCCTTTCTCCTAAAAATCTTATTTAATCTACTTACACTGTTGCCATTGAAAATTCTGATGCAGGTGATACCAGCAAGAACTGTTAATTTGCAGAGACTTATAAAAGAGAAAAGGATATGGAAAAACAGAAAGAAGTGAAAATTAGTTTTTCCCTACCCTTTATCCAGGCTGGACAGGATTTTGTGTGTGTGGAGGGGGGGGGGGGGGGGGGGGGGAGATCTTGTTTATGGAAATATTAAAAATAAAATAAAATAAAGAGTTAATACCCGATTTGGTCCCTCGACTATTAGGATTCCACCACTTTGTTCCTCAACTTCCAAACTTGCTCAATTTCATCCCCAACTAGGTAATTGTTAACCAAAATGGTCCTAACCAAGACTATTTTGGTTTGGACAACAGACTATTTTAGGTGAAAATTGCATAGTTGGGGATGAAATTGATCGAGTTTGGAAGTCGAGGACCAAAGTGGTGAAATCCTAATAGTCGTGGGACCAGATCGGGTATTAACTCTAAAATAAAATAAAATAAAATAAAGTAAAAGAAGAAAACTTAAAAGCTAGTGAGTAGTGACTCTAATCCCCATGGGAAGGAAAAGGGAGAAAAAGGCTTACTTGACCGGTATCTTGATATTGGAATTTCTCTTAATTCACGTCTTATGCACAGGTACTCGCCTAGCAATGCCATCACTGCAAACCCGGTAATATTCACCACCCACCACGTTAATGAAGAAGGCCAACCCCCATAGACAAGAGATGTAAAAAGATGGATGCCATAGAGGGTGGAAGCAAAATCTAAACACTTTTTTGCCCTCTCAATAATATAGACCAAGTAGCCAGCTCTGTTTGAGAAAAGGAGAGAGAAGAATTATTCAGGTTAAGCCATTATTTATAAAAACATCAACATTTAATACATTCTGCCCTGAATTCAGCATAACCAAGCAGCATAAAACATACAAGTAAAAGTTTCACAAGTTTTATATTGCACAAGAATAAGCTGTATGGTTACAAAGAATATGTACATTATTTCAAGCAGGTATCAGTAACAAAGTTGATTTCTTAGTAAAAATGTTCTCACCAACCTAGGTGCATAAAATTCTACAATTAAAGAAAAAACCAAAAGCCAAAGAAACTGAGCAGCACCTAGCACCCAACTACAGACACCAACAAAAAAATTTAAAGTGAGAAGCACAACAAAGCAACAGGGTTCTACCTTGCTTTAAAGCAACACGTCACTGTCATATATAAAGTGATGCAAACAAGCAACAATTAAATTTGAGGAAAAAAATGCCAAATAAGCCTCTTAAATTGAGCGGATACTGCAGTTGAACCCCTTAGCTAAAAAAAGCTTCATTGAACCCCAAGAAACCGACAAAAAGTGCAATTGAGTCCAAATGTTACCTATTTAATAGGTTAACACTACTTTGGCACTAAGAGTTCACATATAGTTTTTAAAGATGTGGCAATGACTTGGCATGACATATTAGGATGAATTAGATAATTTTGTACAAAAATTAGAAATTTTTTATAAAAAAAATCAAATCATCAAGCAACCATTCAACATCGAACAACCATGGTTGCTATGGTTTAGCTGTCTCCCTTCGATGATTTGAATTTATTTTTTAGTACAAAATTATCCAATTCATCCTAATAGGTGATGCCAAATCACCACCACATCTAGAAAAACACGCATCGACTCCTAATTAACATTAAATCAGCGGTAACTAATTGAAGAAATAACATTTAGACTCAATTGCACTTTTTTTCGGTTAAGGGAGTTTGATAGAGGTTTTTTCTTTTCTTTTATTTTCTTTTTTTTTTTCTTTTTTTTTTTTTTCCAGTTACGGGGCTAATTTCAACTCAAGGGGCTTATTTGACACTTCTTCCTGAACTTTATAATCTAGAATTATATATAAATGGTTTATAATGCAATTTTTAAGAAAGAAAAAAAATACTATATTTAACATCATTTTATACAAATAAAGCATATTGCATCCTTAATCTTTGGTGAATATCTATTATGCAACCAAACAATTACTTTTGACAAGTATACAAAATTCTAAAATTAAAATGATAAAAAAAATAATATAATCATATTAACATAATATTCCATTATTCGTCAGTCATTATTATTTACCTAAACACAAGCATCATATTGAATACATATTAGGTTATTAACCAAGCATCATATTGAATGCTTTAATTAAGGTTTAATTTTTTTATTTTTTTTTTAAATCCTGGAGTTTGGATAGGCAGGATAGCCATACAGCCCACTGCCCACTTTTGTCGTGGTTTCTTTTTGCCCACACACAGTGGGCAGAGAGAGACAAAGAGTGAAGAAGCAAACAACAAAGAGAGGGAGAGAGAGAGAGGAATAAGGAAAAGCATAGTTATGACCAAGATTCTTCTGGGTCAACGAAGAAGAAGAGATTGGATTCGCCAAGCACTAGATTGAGATTTGAGGATGTTCTGAAGGCTGGGTTGGTGCTCTTAGGACTGATTCTAGCTTCAAAGACTATGTTGACTTGGCCCATGTATAAAAGCCCTGACTTTGCTTGTGCCCTAATTGTTTCAACCTGAGGAGATTGCTTGTCCTCACTTTGCTGCACTTGTATGTTTTCTGTTGCTTCGCTGAAGCAATACGATGCAAGGTCAATTGCATTCACTTCGTCTCTTAAGCAACAAAGTGCTCACTTTTGACAAGCGTGGACACCAATTAAGTGAGCTTAGGTCAATGAACGACACCCCACCCAATACAAACTAACCACCCAATACAAATGCATGTCACACGAAAGACACGATTCTAATCCAATCTCTTCAAAGTTCACGAACATGACAAATTCCAAGACATGAATTCTTAATGACTATTTCTCAGTACATCTACAATGGCACGAGTGACTTTAACTAAGGTTGAAATTACATGGTCCCAGTGGCTAATCTATAATGCATACCATCAACACCCACCTCCCCTCAACACCAGTCAGTTTTTTCTCTCATTATACACTCAAAAGAAATCACCTTTAAGCAAAGTACACAATGCAACCTTCAAATCTTATAATAAATAGCATCCATATTGAGCATCAAAACCAGAATCGAATTTTATTAAATAGACCTTACTCAACCAATATGAATTATCTCAAAGCATAGGCAGTTCAGATGAATTCCAATTATCTGCTATAACATGCAAGCTTTGACTTATAAGTTATCCAAAGGCAAAATGAGAAATTGCAGAACAACAGAGATTCGCAAAGAATACTACAATTAACAAAAGTCAAAAACAACCCTTCAAAGAATCAATACACTAAACTAAGAACAAAATACAAGTCTGTAAAACGCTCAAAAGTGGATAAAGTCAAAATCTCACCCTGCAATTGAGCTGAGAATAAACGCAGTAATGACGCACCACCCCGTGTTAGTAGAGACAGTGACACTGGCGTAATCAAAGAAATACACTAGACTAATTCGGGAAACCCTAGTTCCTACTAGACCTGCCATGAATATCCCCAGCGTCAAGTAGTATAGACATTGAAGACAAACGATTTGGGCAACAATCAGCCATGGATCCCATACCACTGCCCCGTAGAACATATCTATTCTCCAAATCAAAAAGTAAATCTCAAATGGAAGGAAATCTCTTTGATCTGAAAAACAAGTTCTATGGAAAAATTGATTCGAATTCAGCCAAAAGGGAATCAATTTACAGCGATATATAAGAACAAATCAGCGAAATTTTTTTTGTAACTGAGATCACAAGTGAAACCCTAACTTGTATTAGGCTGGAGGGTAACTAATTTGAGAAGCTGATTGAAGAATTGATCCGAATTTCTGCTTATTTGGGCAGAAGAAGATATTGAGTTTCAGATAAGGAAGAATTAGCTGATGGAAATGAGAAAAAGTTTGGAATTTTGCAGATATACAGATGAGGGAGAGTGAAGTCTCGCAGTAAAAGTATATTCGTTTTTTAAAAAGTTGCAATATTTTTTTTTTTTTAAATGGCAAGTTTGAATGTTTAATTGCATTTTTAAGTTCAATTACCTAATTACACCTGAGTAAAGTTGAAGAGTTTATTTGACTTTTTTTTTTAGTGTTGATATTTCTTTTTCAATATTTATATTTATTATAATATTCATATTGTTACGTGATTTATTTGAATTTTTTCTTATTATTTTTATATTGGATGAACTTGTTGAGAATCACGGAAACACATTGAAATTTATATTATTTAGCACTTGAATACATATTATACAAGGTTACATCATATATAGTCCTACAAAGGAGACACAAGAATAAATGATTAGTAAATGATGGGAGGCTCAAGGTAACTACTACAACATTCGGACTATAAGACTAGTAAAGGAACCAGCTTTAACCAAGAAACCTATAAATAGTATACTTGACTTAAGAAAAGACAAGACAAAAATACTCCAGCACGTAAGTTAGAGCATATAAATCAAAGGCTTTAAGTTTGTTATAAATATATTCAATCAAATGTCCACGGAAATATTTATTGAGGATGTCAACAAGCTGATCATTTTATCCAACGAATGTGGTAATGATGTCACCTAGTGCAACTTTTACCCTTATAAAGTAATATAATCAATCTCACTATTTTTGGTTCTTTTGTGGAAGACATGATTGGATGTGATATGCAAAGTAGTCTGATTATCTTAAATTAACTTCATAGAACCAAGTTTGCAAAAATTGAGTTTTGTGAGAATATGTTTAACCCAAATTAGTTCACACATATTCCAAGTGTCATTACTCACTATTTTGCTTATGTGCTTGAGAGTGCAACCATAACTTGTTTCTTACTTTTCCAAGATACAAGATTACCTCCAAATATGATACAATATCATACATTAATCTTCTATCCTAACAACATCCAACCCGTTTTCAAAAAAACAAAAACAAAAAAAAAAAACAAAAAAAATCCAACCCAACTTACATTTGTATAACCAACAATTTTTTACATATCCACAATCCTTATAAAGCAAACCTGTAATCGAAGATCTTTTTACATGTCTTAAAATCCTAATGACTCTTATATGATTCTTGTGTGAGATCTAAATATGATCTAATTTAACTATATACAGAATAATCTACGATAAACTTAACTCGTAGTAGCGGAAGCGGAAGCATTGTAGATCTTCAGCCTCATACTTGACTCAAAACCCTAGATGGTGTACTGGTATTTTACGAGCAGCATGAGTACCATAATGAATCATGTGTCTTGTATCCCATCAATACAAGCTTTATATAGGCATATTGGTGGAATACACACTTAACCTAATGTCCAGTCCAACCAATTACTTAATGGGCCTAGTTCACTTGCACCACATAATTAAGGCTCATATGGGAAAGTTTTACATCTTGTAGAAATTGACTAACCACACTCCCAACAAAAGGAGATATATGAACGAGTGACACTTAAGTAAAGTAGTTTGGCAACTAATCTTCGGTATTTACTAGGATCAAATAAAGGTTCCTCTTCTTCGGGAAGAAGTTTGGCATTTGGATGCATGGGTATATCAATTTGCTTGTTATCTGACATACTTAGCTTGTTTCTTTGAAAATGTTGAAAGCATACTTTTGTTGAGACACATAAATGCCCTGGTTGGATTGAGTAGCCTCTATATCTAGGAAATACTTCAATTTTTTCAAGATCTTGTCTCAAAAGTTGAAAAATATGTTTCTTGAGTTGACTTATTCCATAGATATTATCCCCTATGATAACAATGCCATCAACTTAAACTATAAGATATACTATGTTCTTACTTAATAGGTGTTTATAGAAGACATTAATAGGTGTTTATAGAAGACATAATGATCAACCATGCTTTGAACCATGTCAAATTGTTGAGCAATACCACTAAATTGCACATGGAGATTGCTTCAAATCATAAAGAGAACATTTGAGTCAACAAACTAAATTGGTTCCTATACGAGCCACAAAGCCATTAGGTTCTTCAATATACACTCATTTTAAATCATTGTGTAGAAAGACATTTTTGACATCTAACTAATACAATGCCCAATGGCAACCGACTGCCATTAAGAGGAAGAGACGGACAGAGGTGATGTTGGCTATCCATTTCATCAACCATATCTTGTTGCCAACTTATTAGATAGGTTAATGCCTCCTTGACATTTTTAGGAACAACAACAGAAGACAAACTAGCAATGAAAGCATAATATGATAGAAGTTATTAGATAGGACAAGGATTCGAGTGGACCTAGTACCTATTTGATTGGAAATGAGAGAATTAGGTGCAATATATTGGACTATGTTAGGATGCACTCATGGTGTTGGACATGAATTGACCGAACATCCACATTATTGGGAATTGAGTATTTGATGATTGTGTCATTGGTAGGTGTATGGAAATGGTGAAATTTTCCATCCCTCTTAAATGGATGGTAGTGGTACGGTTCTATCAAGCATAGTAAGAGACACATGCCCAGAAAAAGGTACGAGAAGGAGTATTTCTATGGTTTCAATGGGTTTTCTTAGAAAGTTAAACTCAACAATGGAAGTGGAAGAGAAAAAAATGTGTGTTTTCAAAGATGGTAACATCAATGGAGGTATAGAAATGATGCGTTTTAAGACAATACACTTAAAGTCGGTTTAAAGATGAGAATATCCAATGAAAATCCATTTTATTGCCTTGGTATCAAATTTGTCATGCATGTGAAAAGACTCACAAGATTACCTCCAAATATAATACAATATCATACATTGATCTTCTATCCTAACGACATCCAACCTAATTTACATTTGTATAACCAACAATTTTTACATATCCACGATGCTTATAAAGCAAAGCTGTAATCGAAGATCTTTTCACATATCTTAAAATCCTGATGATTGCAACCTAATGACTCTTATATGCTTCTTGTAGAAATTGACTAACCACACTCGCAACAAAAGAAGATATCTAAAGAGTGACACTTAAGTAAATTAATTTGCCAACTAATTTTCAGTATTTACTAGGATCATATAAAGGTTCCTCTTCTCGGGGAAGAAGTTTAGCATTTGGATGCTTGTTCGTTGTTCCTTTGAGAATGTTGAAAGCATACTTTTGTTGGGACACATAGATGCCCTGGTTTGATTGAGTAGCCTCAATACCTAAAAATACTTCAATTTTTCAAAGATCTTTTGTCTCAAAATGTTGAAACATATGTTTCTTAAGTTGACTTATTCAATAGATTTTATCCCCTATGATAACAATGTCATCAACTTTTTTTTTAGTATTACTGACTCTATTACAATGTAGTATCTGTTCATAGCTACTTTCTCAACCTACTAAAGCACAAAGAGTCAATACCACCCCCACTATGGCTCAAACTCATTACCTTCCATTTGGGAGAGCCACTTCATGCCACTAGACCACAAGGTCACGGGTAACAATGTCAACAACTTAAACTATAAGATATAATATGTTTTTACTTAATAGGTGTTTATAGAAGACATAATGATCAACCATGCTTTCAACCATGTCAAATTGTTGAGCAATACCACTAAATTGCACATGGAGATTGCTTCAAATCATAAAGAGAATATTTGAGTCAACAAACTAAATTGGTTCTTATCTGAGCCACAAAGCCAGGAGGTTCTATACACATCTTTTAAATCATTGTGTAGAAAGGCATTTTTGACATCTAAGTAATACAATGCCCAATGGCAATTAGCTGCCATTAAGAGGAAGAGGCAAACAAAGGTGATATTGGTCATTCATTCATCAACCATATCTTGCTGCCAACTTAGATAGGTTAATGCCTCCTTGACAGTTTTAGGAACAACAACAAAAAACAAACTAGTATTGAAAGCACAATATGATGGAACTTATAGATAGGACAAGGATTACGAGTGGACCTAGTACCTATTTGATTGGAAATGAGAGAATTAGGTGCAATATATTGGACTATGTTAGGAGGCATTCATGGTGTTGAACATGAATTGACCGAACATCCACCTTATTGGGAATTGAGTATTTGATGATTGCGTCATTGGTAGGTGTATGGACATGGTGAAATACGTCATCCCTCTTAAATGGATGGTAGTGGTGTGGTTCTATCAAGCATAGTAAGAGGCCCAGAAAAAATGTAGGACGAGGAGTATTTGTATGAATGACTTCAATGGGTTTTCTTAGAAAGTCAAATTCAATAATGGAGGTGGAAGAGAAAAAATGTGTGTTTTCAAAGAAGGTAACATCAATGGAGGTATAGAAATTTGTTTTTGTTGAGGAGTTATAGCACAAGAGGATTCATGGAGTATTCCATGTTAAGGAAAGAAGGAAGTGAAGGAGTTGGGGAAAAAAAACCAGTTTTATTGCAGAGGCCCAATCTTGATAATTTTGGGATTCAATTAGTTTCTCATTGGTGATAACTAAGTTTCTTGGTAAGTTTGGAACATAGACTTTAGGTTGGACAAGATCATCCATGACACTAATGAAAAGTGAAAACTTCATCTTTGGCCATATTTGCTAGGAAAATATGAGAATATCACTGGAGGGTCGTGGGGAGGGGAATATCGTTTTACTTTCAACAAATTGATGTTTAGCTCTTGTTATATTGTTCAACTTCTTTAAAAAAAAAAAAAAAAATTATCGTTTCAACTTGTAACATAGAAACTAATAAAGTTGTAAATAAGTTGTGAGTCAATCCAAAATGGGCTTGTTAATAGAATGTGGGCATGAATTTCTTACAGTAGATGAATACATTGTTAATGCAAAAAAAAAAAAAAAAAAAAAAAAGAAGTGCAGAATGAAGTAAATGTTACAGAGTGTGTGTGACCATCAATTACTAGTAAAAATCTAGGAATCATCTTGTTCAGGAACCGACTTCTTCCTCCTGGTGTATTTTCTTGTAGAAACTGTAGCCTTATTAGCCGCCACCTCAACCTTTTGCTTTTCCTGATCATTTACAGGCGTTTTTGATGAATTCATTTGGCTCCTCAGCCGCAATATTTCGCCTTTTGCTGATGCCAGTTCCTCCTCCAGTTTCTTTGCTCTCTTCTCCAGATTCTCTCTTTCTTTCCCAAGTCTCATCACAAGGGTATGCGCGTCTTCCATGTTTTCTCGGGCTTCTTGAGAAACTTGCTTTTGCTCTGACAGAGACTTCTGGAGCATTTCCTTTTCATCTTCAAGGCCAGAAATGGTGGAATTAGCAAGCTCTAGGTTCTTTGAGAGAACCATCGCATTTTGATTCAACTCAACAAGTGATTTAGTAGTCTCCTCCAGATCTGCTTCCAGAGATTTCTGTACTTCTTTATCTTTTAAAATTTGAGTCTCCACAGCCTGCAACTCCTTTTTCAGGTTAGCAATAATATTCCTTTCTTCTTTTAGATCATTAGCAGCACTCTCAGCTCTCTTATAGACATCAACTAGCTCCTTCTGTAGGCTGTCACGAGTCTCAGAAACTGAAGCAAGTTCTCGAGATATTATCTCCATTTCCTCGTTTGTTTTCCTTAGAAGCTCCTTTGTTGCTGTTAGCTCAGCAGCTAATAGTTCTGCACCTCTTTTTGCCTCATCAATGGTCTCGTGCAGTGATTCCCTAGTTTTGACAAAGTCCGCCCTCACTGCAGAAACCTCGGCTTCAAGTTCAGAGCAAAGCTTTCTTGATTGCTCGAGTTCGTTCTTCAGATCAGACACTTCATTTCTTGATTTTTCTAGATTTTCCTGAGCGATTTGAAGCTCCTGTTTCAAGCCATTTACAGTATCCAGTTCTGCGTCCAGCGTTTTTTTCAAATCAACTTGTTCGAGAGTTAAATTAGTAATTATCACTTTACTTTTGCTCGCTTCATCTGAGGCAATGTCAAGCTGTTTCTGAAGCTGTTGGAGTTTCTGTTGCTGTTCATTCAAGAGCATAGCATCTGAAGCTGCCTTCTTTTCTGAAGCGGACTTCAAGTTGTTGTAGTCATTCTGGATTGCATCAAGCTTTTTGTTCAACTCATTTCTTTCAACAATCAGAGAATTCAACTGCACTTCCAGACCATCTACCACAGCATTCCTCGACTCCAGTTCCCTCTCTTTTTTCAGAATTTCATTTTTGAGTTCTTTGTTTTCCGAAGTCAAACCCACAAGCTCGCTTTGAGAGCGTTGATATGAAGAACTGAGTTCATTGAGCCTAGCTTCTGTTTCAGCTAGTTTAGTGCTAGTCTTGTGAAGACTCTCTTCTTTATCCTTGATCTCCAGACTCTGCAAGTTTGTCTTTTCTTGCAGAACTTCTACTGTGCCCGCCTTCTCCTCCAGCTCCCCTTGTAGTTTGTTCTTCTCCTCTCCAGCTTTCTTGAGTTCGGCTTGAAGTCTATCCATTGCAACTTTTAGCTCTTCAACAAACTTCTTTTCCTTTTGGACCTCTCCCTCGAGGTTTTTTATAGTGATATTTGTTGAATTCAGTCTGTTAAGTAGCGCTTGCTGTTCTTCATTCGCCTCCATTTGCTGCTTATTCTGCTTTTCCTTTTCTTTCAGCAGCTCAGACTCGAATTTCTTCCCCATTGAAACAATGGTGGCTTCTTTCTCCTCCAGTTTAGCACTCATCTATTATGCAAATAATAGCAGATTCGAGTACACATTAACATATAAAGCAGTGCTAAGAAACTTATAAAGCAAAGCAGATTAGAGTACACATTAACATATCATTTTTCAATTTCTTGATCAGTCTGCTTGAAGCAAAAGCACAAAGTGCGAGTTAATTGGCGAGTAAAACTTCACTTTTCGAGATTTAATTGATCCAACCTCTGATATTGCTTACTAGACAGAGGGAAGAAAGAAAAGAATTCAAGACAGAACTAAAAACTTCAAAAAGCTTACAGATTCTAGAGCTTCATCAGAAATGGCTTTTTCCTTCCTGGCCAGTGCATAGAGTGCGCCTAGCACCCCTGTGCCATAAAATCCAAATCCATTTAGAAGAGAGAGGAAGGGGTTCTGTGACTGAGACTCTCCGCCTTGAATTTTTCGCTGGCCACAAGAAAACATTCGCTTCAGAGCAGATCAAACTTGAAGACAATATACAAAGCAACAAGCGCAGAATCCATCTCTCCTAAATTCTGCAGACTATATTTGACAAAGAGTCAGACCTCAACTTCTTGTTTCTGGTCGGTTGCCTTCAATTCAGAAATGTCTGTAATAGAATCCTCTCAATGTCGGCCATTGGTTTGAAAAGTATATAAAGAAATAGAAAAACAATCTTAAAACATGTTCATATTACTTGGAAACAAACTATTTAATGAAAATAAACCAAGCCATTTAGTTTAAACTAATTGTTATAACCCTAAACCCTAAACCATAATCATACCCGGATCATATATACATTTTACCTTCAAATCAAGAATTCCACTTGATAAAAGCAACATTTCGTGTCAAATAGCAACAAAAACAAAATATCACAAACTAGCAGCCTATATCTAATCACAGAAATAATTCATTTTCAGTAAGAAAAACTAAATAATTTCAGACTGGACATTATGCCTAATAACCATAGATTACCTTAAGCAAAACTCAATATCAAGGCATAAAAACAACAGCTCATTTCCTCGTATCCATAAGCATTCGAGATTAGGTAATTTACTCATCAATTAATTCTTGAGCGCAGTAATTAATTCGAGAAAACAAGAACAGGAAGGCTAAAATAGCTAACACACCTGCTGGCGAGACTTCAAGAGCCCTTGCTCTGAGTTGAAGGAGCGGAAGAATTGAAATGCCGGCGAAAAGGATCAGCCTCCTGTTGCAGATATCGCTGTCGTTTGGGGTTTCTGCTCCCATACGCGCCATGGCCGGCCTAAGCTTTTTCCCATTTCGTGCATTTCTTGGGGAGAAAAAGAAGGGGGAATGAGAAGGAGAGAGTAATGACGAGTGTGAAGAAGAAGAAGAATAAACGAAGAGAGAATGAGGGCATGGCGATTGCAGAAAGCAAGAAGACGCCATTGCAGCAGAGCTTGGAGCTTTTGTGGTGCTTAGCGAAGCACCTTTACTCACACTAGCGATTCCTATCTCACAAACTTCCACTTTTCAATGGCGCCCAACGGAAAGACCAAAATGCCCCTCTGGCCCTCTCCTTTTTGTTTGTTCTCTCATTAACTTCCTATTTTTTTTTTTTTTATTTATTTTGAAAGCAACTTCCTAAATTTATTTTTCCTGATTTATTTATTTATTTATTATTATGACTCTTTTTTTTTTTGGGTAACAATAGTATCTAGTGCAATCATTATAATTGACTTTATTATACTCAACATTATCTAAAAACATAATAAGTGTGAATGAAGGTTACTCCCTTCATTTATATCCATTTTTTCCGTTAAATTTTTTTTTATATACATTATGCTATAAAAGTTGTACTTTACAATATTTTGGACAAACATACCCCTACCGTTATAACTTTCGTTATCTTTTTCACTATTGTTATAATGCACATGCATCCACCATATATTTTCTTATCTTTTTCAATAATAATAATAATAATAATAATAATAATAATAATATATACACATTAATACATTATATATTAGAATTATATGTTAATTATTTTCTAAAATATAAATATCAAATTTATAAAAAAAAATTACATTATTATTATTATTTACAATAATTTAAATATCTAAAATCTAAATAAATTTAAAATTTTAATATAAAGTATTAATATTGGACACCTATTTTTTGTGCATCGTGCATGAAAAATACTAGTTAGTAGGAATAAAGCTCAAATAGACTATCAAATCCAAAAGGTTACAACTCTAATACTCTTGAGCTAATATGATCACATAGTTAATTTAAACAAAAGATTAGTGATTAAAATAGAAAGATTGAATTATGCATCCTTTAGAAAGATTGAATTATGCATCCTTTTGAATTATGATGTAAACAAAAGATTAGTGATCAAAATAGAAAGATTGAATTATGCATCCTTTAGAAAGATTGAATTATGCATCCTTTTGAATTATGATGTAAACAAAAGATTAGTGATCAAAATAGAAAGATTGAATTATGCATCCTTTAGAAAGATTGAATTATGCATCCTTTTGAATTATGATGTAAACAAAAGATTAGTGATCAAAATAGAAAGATTGAATTATGCATCCTTTAAGCCAAGCCTCATGTTTAACTTTTGTAAAAGTTAATTACCGAAATGGTCTCTTAACTATAATAAAATTATCAATTTGATCATTGACTATTTTTCTTTGACCAATTAGGTTCATCAACTTTAAAAATCGTAACCAATTTAGTCTTTTGTTTGTTTTGCCGTTAGACATCCGATCCGTTAACTCGGAACCAAATTGGTAATTTTGTCATAGTCAATTGACCATTTTAGTAATTAACTTTTTGGAGAAAATGGTGCATGTGATATTGTGATGACCGGAATGGTCCTTTGACTATAACAAAATTATCAATTTGGTATCGAGTTAACGGATGTCTAACGGCAAAACAAACGCAGGACCAAATTGGTTAAGATTTTTAAAGTTGAAGGACTTAATTGGTCAAAAAATTAGTCAAGGTCGATCAAATTGATAATTTCGCTATAGTCAATAGGCCATTTCGGTAATTAACTCGTTTTGTAAATTGAGTAATAAAAATAAAAGAGATATTTCCTCTATTTTTTTTTAGATTACGAGGGAAATTCACAATCATTACATGATGATGTATACTAAATAAATAAGACTCATATATAATAGTACACAAATCACACATCAGGACTAATTTTTTATTGTTTTGGTCCTGTTCTTATAAATAAATGAAGCCTTACCAAAAATATAAGCGCAATTTTTAATGGTGAATGGTACAAGTTTCAAGTTATCTCTGCAAATTTAAGATTTGAGACATCATATGTGCCGTTAATTGATGAACTTTAGGTTTAATTGTAATTTTTTTTTTTTAATTTATTAAGTAGTTAGGTTAAAAATAAATGTTAGGCCCTCTAAAAATTGAGGTCATATGCTATTACCCATCTTGCACGCCTTAAAATTCGGCTATGCACACATGAAAGGTAAAAAACTCTTTCCTTATTACTCTACATAAGATCTAACACTATCTTAATGCAAAACTAAAAATGTATTTCATACCAATTAAATTTTTTTTAAAAAGAAAAGGAAATGGCAGTTGGTAATTTGACAGAAAATGGAGGGCATTTGTATACATGGACGAAATGTTGAGATAGTAGAGTGTAGTTGTTTATGATTATGATGAATCCTGTGATTAGAGAAAGTACAGTTTGGGGTATAGTATTCTATCCACAATCTTGATTGGCTGCTTCTCATAGGAAGCCACGTCACCCATCAACTTTGACTTGCTGGCTCCTCAAACTCGATCGCCAATTATATATACTCTCACCTCTTTTTTATATTTTAACTAGTAATTCACCCGCGCGATGCACGAAAAAAAATTATGTTATTATAAATATAAATAGAAAATAGAAAAATTAAAATATTTTAAATTATTTAATGTAATAATATTTTGAGCGTCCATTGGTCAACTATTTATTATTTTTATAGAATGCAAAATTACAATTAAAATTAAAATTATAATTTTTTATGGTTAATATAATCTCTAATTATGTGCATATTCAAATAAATTTATAGAGAAAATTTACATAATTACATCGATTTATTCTTAATTGTATTTCATCTATATTATAATTTTCACAATACGAATAATAACTAAGATAATTACATTTGGAAAGCAAATTTCAAATTTTGTAGATGTAAATTTAAACTCTAATTGAACACATTTTTTATATAATTATATAATATATAGCTATTTTATTTTTCAAAAGTATATTTTTTATATGATTATATAATATATAGCTATTTTATTTTTTAAATGTTGTGCTTTTATTTTTTTTATTTTTTTTTATAATAAAGTATGTTGTTGCATTAATTGTAATTAAATATTTCCCAAACCATATAGCTTTATTATATAAAGGATTGTCTATTTATTTATTTATTATATCTACAACTATTTTTAAGAAGTGAAGAAACTTTGAATTCTCTAGCTACGAAAATCAAGGAATAAGTTTCACATATAACACGTTGTTGATACTTGAAAAGCTTAACTTTTAAAATTATATTGTTTGCTTAGAATGAAATTGTAATTTTAAGAAATTACAATTTACTCATTTTAACATTTTTCGACCATTTTTTAGGTGATCGGAAAAGTTGTCAGAAAGTCAAAAAATTTCAGTAGTGTTTATGGACCAGTTAAAACCACTAAAAATATTACGGAGTAGAATCATTTCCATTGTTGGAAAATGCACTTTAGACAAGGGTAATGCTCTTCATGTTTTAGTTAAATACTATCTAATTTTATTTATTTATTTCTATAGGTATCCTTATTATTTTGAGACTTATCTAGATTCGACTCCGGTCACATTTACAGAATTTGACTTGATCTTATAATTATATTAATAATTTAGTTAACAATTATCTCAAATTGTTGAGTTGTTAACTATTGTACTCAATACAATGTTCAGTGTCTTACTCCACCATGATAATTGATAAATTTTGTATAGTTTTTTTTTTTTGGTTTTTGGTAGACCATCATGTCTCCTGAGCAGACCCTAACTATAGGATGCACTTTTAAACTCGTATCATACTAGATTAATTCCCATTCGCATCGGGCAAACCCAATTAAGGGGTAAAGTGTTGGCCAAATTGATTTTTCCATACAAAAAAGATCGGAGTTCGAACTTCCGACTTCTCTTAAGATATGAGAGTGCACGGCCACTCACACCAACCAAGCTGGTTAAATGTGGTATAGATTTGTACTTTAAATTTTGCTGAAACAATTTATAAAGAATTGAAGGTACAACTAAGAAATGGAGATGGCACTACTCTACATAACACTTGGACATGGCACCTATTACCTAAAATTTAAGATTTTGTAAATTAACAATAATATAATATTTATACTAAATATTAAATATCGTTATTAATAAATTAAACTAGTTACCACACGTGCATTGCGCGAATAGTCTGATGCCTAATGTGTATTTTTAAATTAGTGTTTCAGAATTTACCAAGTTATCATTCGGTATTCTGACGTATATCAATGCAACATTATCAAATTTTTCATAAAAGTAAATATTTCAAGAATGCATAACTATGACATATGGCACAAATGTTGGATTAACTGGTGCAATAACAATTTTAGATGGAAGCACCATCACTGGATAGCACCTAACTCCCTAAGCATAGTTTTTACAACACAAAATCCTATTAATTGGTGTGATCTATGCTTCCTCCTATTGTCACTTCCGCCAGAAATGAATCATTGATTTGATCTAGTCCCCAGGTGTGCTTCACTGCAATTTTAGTGCATTGGCGCAGTGCACCTTCAAAAACATAACTAAATCCCCTTCCCTAAAAAGACAATGATAATAGACATAGTTTATCTTCAGTGTTGAATATATACTATAAATTTAGTGTGTATCGTTTCATCAATGTCCAATGCTTGATTCTAATTAATTGACCAAAGTTCATGTTAAATTTTATATTATATTTTTTAACACACTCTAACATATTCATTGTATATGTTTAACAATTATATCAATTTTGATTGGGATGAGGTTCGAACGTAAGACCCTCTTTATGAAAATCAATGAGTAAATTAAGAATAATAAATAGTTAATGGAATTTTCAGTTACTAAATTTTACAATACAAGGGTATTTAAGAAAAAGTAAATGAGAAAAATAATAAAAAATTAATAAAATTATAATAATATGAACCATTCATTTCAACAAACAATTACACCAACATTTTTAGTTCTCGTTATGAGCCTAACTTTATTGTCTCTTATTAGATTTGTAGAAAATAGTCAATACCACTATCGATACATGTATCAATTTGCACCACAGAAAAATGTTAAATATTGAGAACAACTCCAAAGTTGGTCGGATTGTTGGCTTAGTAACTATACAATTCTAAGTTCGACTTCAGTGGGAGTGAACTATTGATTTTTTTGGTTTAAACCAGTCAACTATGGACAACCTAAACTGATTTACCACCAAAATT